TGTTTTTTGTAAAAAAAATTATTATTTTGACATTTTGAAGTCTTCTTCAATGTGATATGGTGTAAGTTATAAATTATTCAGTTGTAATTGTTTATGTTTCGTTAAAAACATAGTTGATTTTACTTACCTCCTAAGATTATTTATTTTATTCTTTATGCTTAAATATTAAATGGTCAATGTTCTTGTGTGTGTTGTTTCTCTTTTCGTTCATTTTTTAATGAATAATAAAATTTAATTCGCCCTCATTGAATAATGTTAAATTAACTCATTTGTCAGGTATTTGGGTATAAACCATACTCTGAGTGTGTTGTTTGACGATATTACTCTGTTGGCCAAACCTAAGTAAGTAGGGCGGGTTGTAAACGTGGGATTTAGTTATTGAAAGTTGAACGCCTTAATTCTTTGAAGAGATTTCAATTCGCTAATTTAGATAACAACTGCCTTGAATATTGAATCATATTTTAATGAAAGTAGTGTGCGTCAGAGCTAATACTGGCTGAAGCACATTACAAAAGCAAACGATACATTTAATCAGTCAGTTAATTAGACGCAGTCTGGCACATGTATAGATCGCTTCAAGTGATCATACTTCGATAGCACAGATCGATAAAAATTTTCAGGATAAATCCCAGACTAGTAAAAGTAATAACAGTATTCATGGTATATAAACGAATGAAGAAATAATAAAAAAATTATCTGCTTTTAATTAGTTAATCATCAAAAATTGTAGATTTAAATAAATTCTAAGTTAACGGTAATATTCGTAGAAGTAGCTTAAGATAACTATCCTTGCTAGTTATTTTAGCTTGAGAAATGTACAAGAGATCTGTTTTACTGAATTGTTGGTTGGTTTTTTGACCTTGACTTTGAGATTCGATAACACATTTGTTATATGACCAATCATAATAATCCATCCGTAATTCTTCAATATTTTATTCAATCAAATTATTGTTGGTTGACGTTTGTTTGTTGATCTTTTCGGTCGGTATTCATTGAACAGAGTGGCTATTACAATCATTCCAGTAATTATATCAATTAATTCTAGCAGTTATGTTAAAAATAATTTAGGAATCTTATGTGCAATAAAATGTGAAGCACTGGATTTTTGGCATTGTACGTCATTCATGCATTCATGTTATCGAACGTTTCATTTTTCTATGGATATCCTAAACATTTCATTCCTAGAACTGTGGTTGCACTCATGTTCTATAACCATACATCAGTTAAGCGGTTTGTTCGTGAGATAAAATCCAATTGTTTTTCGGATAGTGAATGAATCTAAAACCCGCTATTGGTGTATGTGCTCTAAGTAGTGAAAGCTCCTTAAAACAACTATTTCATCCTAATGTGTTATCTTAAACTAGAATAAGGTCAAGTAAATTCACTGAGGATCTACGTAGAGAAGTTATAAAACCTTGGTTCCAAACTAATATTGCACATAGGCTCCAGGATCCTGATGGATCAAATGGCGTATGAACTCATTGTTGAACATAAACTACCATGGGACTGCATTTCCCGACGTTGCTACACTGCCTTGTGGATTAGACTCAGATAGTGACCTCTTCAGTTTGGGCATCCTGACAATATCCCAGCCTACACGTGAATTTAATAATTTGTGTGGCACATAAATATTTATGCGCCCCTTTGATCTAATAATTTTGTGCTTAAATAAATAAAAGATTTACATCGAATCGTCGTTTTACTAATGATTGCTTGATTACTATTCAAAGTTAGTCATTTGCATTCAATATAGACATCAATGAGGTAATTTGAAGCTAACAACACATTTTAGTCATGTTTATTTAATTGCCATTAACTTTCTTCCAACCTACTTCTACTCCAGCAAAAGCTACATATTCAAGTAGGTTCTAATCGGGGGGCATATGTGTGTGACACAAATCTCAGCTGTTGCAGTTGATAAAATTTTGTAGTTTCATTAGTAGACCTGTAGTGAAGGAGAACACAGGTGGGCAACCGAATTGTATTTAACGACAATTACAGAGTTACTCAGTTAAATAGGAAAACCATATCGTAACCGTTAATTTGCAAATCTTCAATCCATCATCAATCCATTGTGTGACATTTCACCATTCATGTGTTTCATACAAATTCCATTGTGTTCCCACTCTTCCTTTCTTGATCTTCCCCCATCTTCTGCTACCAGACATTACGTTTAGACTCGCGTCATATACTACTTATAAGTAGCGCGCACCACAGACCAACCATTTTAGTTAATAATGATTGATTATATGTTATACGCCTTAGTAGATTTCGTCGTATTTATTCTAGTGATTATAACCAAAAACGTATTGAATAGATTTTAAGAGTGTACATGAACTTGCATTAATTAGCTGTTAACCTTTTCTTTTCAACTCTAATCTGCTTACGGGTTTTTCGAGAAAAAAAAACTAACGAAAGCCTCTGAAAAAAAGTTATTCTTGGTCGTATCGCTCTCTGCTTTTATTATGAACAATAACTAAGTCTAATCGACTGAACTAACATGTGGTCAGTCAGTCAGATGCAACGTAGAACTTCGTACGTAAGTACATCAGTTCATGTTGCCATACCACATCAGCACAGAGATGTAATTGTCAATTCAAATCCAATAGTAGAAGAAATAGTAAAAGTATTAGCAGTAATCAGAGAGGTTAACATGAGAAGATATTATTCAAGAAGTATGATTCAGTGAGAAAAGTTTGGAAAGTCAAAACTGGAGGTGTTGAAGAATCCAGAAGATTAGGATTTGAGAGAACACAAAGAATAAATGCACCGGCGCCATGTCATTCAAGGTTTCTAGCCATCCATTATTAATAACACTATTCTGATGAGTTCATCGTAACATTTTCCACTGTACTAAAATTTCACAGCATTTGCATTCTCCTGAAGATGAGAAACAGATATCAAGTATTTATAAAAAAAAACACCACTTTTGTTTCTCCTATCTTAACTATGTTCCTGATTTGAAATTTGAAACAATAACGCTCTCTTTCATTTAATTAATAAAAAACCACTGTAGTCAGCTTAGTATTGATAGATGTTATGATCTATGATTAATTCAAATGAAATATTTTATGACTGGTTCTGGAGAGAGGGAGAGAGATTTAACTGTACGTACCCACGACCTGTCATCCAGGAACCGAACCCAAGATCTCTTGTCTGAACGCTTCTTCTCTAGACAACCGACCTGGAATCTAGTATTCCACCTGTCTACCATCAATCACATCACGTTATCGTAGAGTCGACTGTCTCATACCCGATATGGTTGAGTAAATCGGTGTTAAGATAAGATGACCACTACCTTTAAAGTATTAATGACTGAATATTTTCAACTCGTTTACCAATGAAATTATTTATGTCATGAATTATTGAACTTTCCGTATCTAATCAATGAATGTTCTTCATGTGTTAGTATTTTTATGATTGCATCTATCATGGGCTAGTAATACTGTTTTCAGTTGCTTTTTTTATTGAAAAGAATTATGTAATAATACAACATGAGACCATGACTACTTATTTGTACCAGTGGTTGCAATTAGAAGCATACTACTTTTAGAATATTTTTTTAAATTTAAATATGAAAATAGCCACAAAGTGTTCTTTGTCCATCTAATTATTAAACTGATGAAAGCTGTGATTGAATGACTTCTGAATTAAAAAAAAATATAATGAAAAATAATTAAGTTTCATTGATTAATCAATTTTTTATTGAATAGTTTTTTTTCATCAAAACACGCACTTCATCAAAATATGACAACACTAATTTCAGTCCAAAATGTCAACGACTTTGTGTGTGTGTCGATCACGATTACAATTATCACTAATCACACATTTTTTTAAAATGATTTTCAACCTCGAAATTCACGTAATAAAAAACCACTAGTCGGAATATATTTCAATGTTGATAACCTTGAGTCAATGGCTAAGTTGCTTATTGATTTACGATTCTTTTTGTCCTGCTTTTGATAGAGCTCAGAATGCAAAACCAGCTTCCACAATATATATGTATTTCAGATAGATGTGGTTTATGTATGAGGAGATTAGGTTGCATCACATCAGAAAATAAAATAAATAACAATTGTACATGATCAAACAAAACACGTAGCTGTGAGTAAGAAAGATTCATCAGAAAATAAGTGAAGAACAGTTAATCGAACGACGTTAGTGAATGGATCAAACGAGAAAACTCATGATAAAATAACTAAATAGCAATGATAATCCATAAATCAGTTCTGAGAGTATGACGCCTGCACGTAAACACGTCAACTTGATATACTTGAACTATTACGAGTTTGCCGAGTCGGAAACGCGAGAGCGAGAATCGAGGATCCGGCGACACGACATACTACTCAAACCCGATTATCCCAACCCCCATATTGAGTAAAAAATAAGACAAGACTTGATATGAAGTAGAACCTGTATTCTACAAGCATCCAGAAAGTCCGAGTCCAGGAGAGAACCACAATCCCGGACTAGGGATCCGGGTCCTAGTCCCGGTCATAAAACGTTACAGATAATGCGTATTTATACATTTTGGTCGAATAGGAAACAGCATCGAAGTCTGTGACATTGACAGTTAAGACGACCAATAAGAAGCAACATTTGAAGTGACATCAATAATCAGGACAACCAATAAGAAACAACATTGGAGCATATGACCTTGATATCTAGGACGACCATAAAATTGACCAGTAGTTCTCTTAGCATATTGGATGAATATCCTAACAGAGAGTTATTAATCCTTCGATCGTTGGTCTGATTTTTGTAAAATAAAATGTAACAACTCAAGTACATGCTTGTACTATCCAGTGTAGAAGAGTAGCTAATCCCTGTGTGAAATAAATATTCTTTGAAACCAAAACGACACACTAATAGCTAGATCAAATAGTATGATAATGTGTAAATCAAATGAATTCCTTTTTTTAAAAAAAAATAAGCATTTTCATTTCGTGTTTATGATTATTTACTTGCTTCATATATCATTGTTGTTTTCTCTTATTCAGTGATTCAGAATGGTGGTTAGTTGAACATTCTGGTCAAGTTGGTTACATTCCTTCATCTTATTTAGCTCAAGCTAATTCTGTGGAAGCTGAAGAGTAAGTGATTCAATTGTTTCATCAAAATTAATTAATTATTTTTTTGTTGTTGTGAATTTTCATTTTAACGAAACATAAACAATTTTTAAACAAATATGATCAGTGTAATTAGTTTGTAGCGGATATTGAATTTTGCATATATTTATATATATGTGTTACATCACGTACCGATCGTGTAGAGTTGGGTAATTATTAAAGATCAAAAATTACTGAATGGCTGCTTTTTATTGGATTTCCACACATAATTATTGAAACAAAGAGGTATGTAGATATTTATGCCCCACACACAAATCAATGAATTTGTGTGTGTGTGGGCGCCAACATCGAAGGAGATGGTTTTCTTAGATAACCCCACTCGCTAAGCCTTTGACTTAAAAGCTGCCTAATCCACAAGGCAGTCGATTTACGTTAAGAGATGAGGTTGTATGATAAATGATGACCAACAATGAGTTTATACGCCATTTGTTCGATCAGGATTCTGCAGCACATTTGCAACATTGATTAGGAATTGAGGTTTTATAGCTCCTCCCTACACACTAACCTGTATTAAGCTTCAACAGGAAATTTGTTTTTCATCCTCTTAATTTCAATAAACAGCAAAGCCGTCACGAGAAAGTAATTAGTACAACTTGACTGACAGTGGCTAAATACACCTGGTCATATGATAAGATTAAGAGAAAGAGAGCAGACTCTCCCCACTCTCGCAGGACCGTTCATCTTTTTACGGAATTCATCCCGACCGTAGCTGCTACCTTGACGTGGTGGTCGGGCTTGCCTATCGTCTTCACCCAACCGAGCTATACTGGCTGGAACATATGTTCCTACAGGTCCTACCATGCAAGGCAGGTCGATTAGAGAACGATGAGACTAAAAGCAGCTACTCAAGGTCTGAGGGCGAAGTCGTACTGCTGACTGACTGCAGAGGGGTGTGACAGCAGTAAGGTGTTTCCCTCGGACAACCAGCATCTGCAGCGATGCTGCCTTCTCACAAGGAAGGAAGGGTTAGAAAAGGTCGGCCCTAAAAATGTCACACCTCACCCTACCTCACGAATTACCGTCTCCTTGGGTAAGGGTGCCCACTAAGGGCCTTTAAGAGAAAAGCTCATACTCAAAAAACTCATAAAAAGGTCGTGTGTGACTAGCCTCAAGCAGTTGTCCCTTAGGCTCTGCAGTCACGCTCCCTGGGCTCTAAGACCAACACTAATCTACCTTCCTTTTCAGGTTTCTCAAGAAACAACCTTCCACGGTGTGAGCAGCCGGGAAGTGATAACCGCCCTCATACTCGTAACAGCACACAGGATTCATCCACTGCCTTATGGATTAAGCGGCTTTTAGGTCATAGACTCAAGCAGTAGGGTTACCTAAGAGAACCATCTTCTTCGTTATAGGCATTCGAACACATCATTCTAGCCCATTCACACACAAATTTATTGATTTATGTGTGGGGCGTAATTATCTACATACCTCTTTGTTTCAATAATTATGTGTTGAAATAAATAAATAACGGAAATGTTTACCGACACACAAAAAAAGAAAGCCAGATTCTCTTAGTAATTTTCTTTCATCAGGTTTAGTAACAACTAGCTACAATGAATAATCGTAGTAATACAAGATGATGTTGTTAGTTTCAACATCTTACCATTCATTCACACCTGTACGCACACACACACACACACACACAACGAAACATGGTAAATAACCTTTCTGTTTGAATATCATTTTTTTTCTTAAACATTTTATTTATTACCAATGATTACCATTCAATTCACCTATATTTATATATACATAGAGTTTCTTGACATTTTAGATTTCATTGCCTAAGATTCTTTATCTATCAAAGAAAAAACAAAACAAAGGTCATACATTCTCTATAACTAAACTGTTTAACCCGGATAGTTATTTATTTATTCATATTGCTTTATATTTTTCACTCCATGTAAATACAACACTGATATATATATATATATATATATATATATATATATATATATACTGTTACATGATAAACATATTTATGATGCTTATATATTCAATGTGTGGTGTATACAGATAAGGCATACTTTTCTTCGAGCGAGAAATTAAACGTAAACCTTAATTCTCAATCCCCATTCCAATACCAGTATGATTCATATGTTTTTTGTTTTTTTTTCGTTAATTTCCTCTTTGGAATTCTTTTTTTTCTCTCTCTCTCTCTCTCTCTATTTTTCTCACTTCTATCTTATTGCTGTTGTTTACTATTATTTCTACGTACGTTTGTTTGTTTTCACTTCTTTTCATTTGTTCTTTCACAAACACAAACACAATTTGACTAGTTAGTTTTACAAGAGTAAATGTATTCGGCCTAAAAGCTTAACATGGATTATTATTAATCCAGTACAAAAAAGCAATCACATCCTCCCCCCCTATGCCGTTGATTAAATGAAACTGGAACACACAGGTGTATGTTATCCATAAATCCATAAATTAGTTCACATTTTTATTTTCTGTATAAATAGTTTTTATTTAAAAAAAACCAATTATATTACTTTAATTTTCTATTATTACTACTACTGCTACTACTACTACTGATATGGATTAGATTTCTTTCGGCTGCTCACACTCTCAACCAAAATTTGATTGTTTTTTTCTGATGTAATGAACAGATTTTCAAGCAGAGTTTTGGAGGTTTGTGTTGTTTTACACATTTTCTAAATCATCAATCAGTGATTGTTAGACCGCCCATTAGAAAGCTGGAAGCACTGACAGACGGCCGTTTCGTCCTGGTATGGGACTCATCATCAACATCATTAACACCGTTGGGTGCCGGCCCAGTGGTCCGATGGTTTAGCGTTCGCACACAATGCCGAAGGTCCCTGGTTCGAATCCTGCGAGGTGCAGGAGTCGTGGATACGCACTGCTGATGAGTCCTATACCAGGACGAAACGGCCGTCCAGTGATTTTTCCAGGTTTCTAATGGTGGTCTAACAATGATTGATTGATAATTTCAAATGTGTAAAAATAAACAGATTGTAAGAAAAGGGATGCAAACAAACAAATTGATTTTGTTTAATAGTTGAAATCACAAATTGACCTGGAAGCACTAGACGGCTGTGTTATCATCTAGTATTGCGATGACTCATCAGCAGTGCTCATCCACGATGCCGCAAGTGGACATCAAACTACGAACGCTAAAACATCAACATTCAGTATTGTTATTATTGAACTTAAAATCAGTCCATAGTGTTGCGCAACATATTTATGTAAATAATTCATATGAATCATTCAAATACTGATCGAATGATAATGATATTGATATTATAATGGCGTAAAGACTTGTAATTCAAAATCAGTATCAAAACAATCCATTGAGGATATACACGTAGCAATAGAAAAGACTAATCAGTGTTCAGTCTAGAGTGTCGCAATACCCCGTGTGGACACTATCTATTACGACCAGTAAGATCACATACATACCTAACGGATGCTAGGTAAGAATGGCAGATCAATAGATGTAGTGGTGAAACTTCATCAGTTGAGGTGGTTGGGACATGTGTTACGCATGCCCAACCACCGACTGCCTCGTCGAGCCTTGTTTTGTAGTGTAGGAATAGGTTGGAAGAAAGCTAGGGGCGGCCAGACCAAAACATGGCAGAAATGCATGAAGTCACTGACAAGTGGACTGAGTCATGTTGGTAGTTGTCGACTACCTGGTTGAGGTCCGCGAGATGATAAAAATCGATGGTTAGATACCCTGAATGACGTGGCTCAAAACCGTTTGCAATGGCGCTGGTGCATTTATTCTTTGTGTTCTCTCAAATCCAAATCTTCTGGATCCTTCAACACCTCTAGTTTTGTCTTTCTAAACTGATGTCACTGAATGATACTTCTTAAATAATATCTTCTAATCCTAACCTTTCTGATTACTTCTAATACCTTTACTACCTCTTCTACTATTGGATTTGAATTGACAATTACATCTCTGTGCTGATGTGGTGTGGCAACATGAACTGATGTACATACGTACGAAGTTCTTACGTTGCAACTGACTGACTAACTGACTGAGACATACATACATACACAGATGCATTTTTTAAAAATTCCTATGCTTTAACGTTTACATGTTAGTAAAATAACCATTAAAACCAATCAAACTTACTACTGTATATTTGATGAATAAAATTCCAATTAATTATTCTATACCATATTTAGAATTTTTATGACTTTATCCTTGATAATGATTGTTAGTACAGATATACAGGTTGATTAACTTGTCTGCTTACCAATACACACAATTTTATAGTATTACGCCTATCCGCTACAAAAGAGATTTGGTTAGGATATATTTCACAAGCAGAACTAAACTGATTTGTTTAGTGGATAATTTGAAGAAGGAGTTTGGATTTATTGCTGACTGACTAGCTGAAATCGGCTACTCCAGTAGTTTCTTAGAGAAGTACACGTAAAACACGGAAACATAAGTCGAAAATTTCGACCATTTGGAAGAAGCCTTTATTCCTTAAACTACATTTCACTGGAGATCTGGCTACCGATATCCTTCATGATAAATTAGCGATGGCGATCACGTTAACATTTTATGGTCGACCGGCGATGCATACTCAAACAAATGATAAATTACTTTGATTAACCTCATCAGTATGCATTTATAAATTCAGCTGCTCTTGTGAAGATAGCCTTATTGGGCGTGGCACCAACACCTTAACCGATGACTGAGTGACTAACTCCCAGTATGGTTTGAAAAGAACCAGATAAAGACAATACGCAGCTCTATCTTGGCACACCTGATTGATAATGGTCACAATATAGACATCACCGAATCATTTCGAGTGATCTATTGTATACCCCCGTCATTTCCTAATGGGGTTCGATCCCGTCTGCTACAGATACCAGAAGCTATAAGAATCCGAACTCATAAACCCCAGTTTACGTGTTCACAACACCCTCATCTTTTCCTTGGCTGGATATGACTCAATAAAGGATTTTATTATATTATTAATATTTTC